GATTTCATTGTTTTTTTAATTTTAGGAGCAGCATCCCTTGGTCGCAACAGAACAGCAGGTTTGGTGTCATTTATAGATTGAGTATCGGTATCCTTATATGGAATATTTTGCACAAGAGAAGTCATTTTTCTGGTAAGTCTTTTATAAACTGTTTGTGTTGTGTCACTTTTACTTGGTTTTACAGTTTTTCTTTGTCTATTGTAAGGCACAGTTCCAGTTGGAAAACCTGAATTATTTCCCTTTCTGAACTTGGTCATTTTAATATGTAGAATTTATTTGTAATCCGTGAATGTAACTGTTTAAGGAAAAAGTTTGTGAAAGTTTGGGATTCTGTCTTTACTTTTATATTGGAAATTTGGTTAAAATTTGCATCTTTAATTTGAAAGAAAGGCACCAAACAGAACTCTCATAAAAAATTCTCATAAACAGAGAGAGATAGCAGTACAGATATAAATTTTTAATTCTTACAGCTGCAGTGACAGATATGATAAGATAATTGATTCATCATCTCTGGTCACTGTCTTATCTGTTTGGTGTAAGGTTATGGTTTTTTAGTGCATTAAGTTGTTTCAGATTAAACTTTTAATACTTCAAAATTAAGAAAATTGTCATTTTTTCCTGTAGTTTTCAATTCTTGGGTAGAATCTACCCCAATTATCTGACAGCTGATGTTAGTGTTTTATGTGAAAGTCATATCCACTAGTCTATTGATAAAACACACAGACTTATTGCTTTTGTATATTTAATAAGAAAATAAATAAGTTTTATTTGGCAAAAAAATCAACTCTCAGCTTCACATTTCCTCTGCCGTCATTTGGGGTACATGTTGAACTTTTCTTTTTTCTTCGCTTGTAAGTGATCGACATCTTTTGCCTACAACTTTTCCATTACTAGATATAACAAATATTCATTTGGCCTAAAATTTGCTAGATTCTGGGCCCTTTTTTTGATTCTATATTGGGATGAAATTTACTTTCACTTTCATTTTGGAAAAGCAAGTTGCTGAATCAGACTTCTTTTAAAACGTTTTTGTGATTGTGTCAGCATCATGGAGGACTTTCATAAAGATTTAGAGGAGAGATTTCTAAAAAAACCAAAAAAAATGGGCAATATTCATGGTTGTGTAGCATGGGACGGCTATGTTGATAAATTAGGATACGGTGTCATGAATGTAAACTGGCCAAGGGAGGGTGCAAAAAAAGAAAGAGCACACAGACTAGCATATATGATTAAGGAAAGAATAAGCCACAATGATATGCCAAGACTTGATGAAAACAACAACCGCATAGAATGTAGTCACTTGTGCCATAATAAGACCTGTGTCAATTCAGAGCATATTAAACTTGAGTCCCATGCTACAAACCAGGAACGTATTCATTGTAAAGGGCAAAATTTTTGTGCAAAATGTCATGAACCACATTGTCTTATATGAAAGTATGCTTTATTTACAAATTAACACTTTTTTGTCACTGCAACTCGTTGTTTTTTGGCATAGGGATGGTCCTCGGCTTGCGTTTTTGTACGTTTCACTGGCCGCATAAGCTTGTTTTTCTCGTAACACTTTTCTTCCTGATGTTTTTCATAAATTTTATACAAATGTTTCCTGGTATCAGACCTCTCCTTTTTATATTTTATTGATTTTTTATAAGCTTTCTGCATTCTGTCTGTTTTTTGTATAGCTTTAAGTTCTTTTTCAGCAGCAGACCCAGGACTGATTTCTGCCCCAAGTTTCTTACAGATCACTAGGAGAGACTCACCAGGACCAAGATTTACACTATGAATAGCTGAATGGACACGACCTTCAAAGTTTTTTGTATAGGTAACATTTTTTGGTAGTGATCTACGCAGTAATCTGTTAAATCCCTCGACTTTTTGAGTATTTAGGTTCAATCTCGTCTTTTTTAAAGCGCTCGGACTAAGACAATATAACACACACTTTCTTATGGCATTCAAGTTTTAGTCCAATTTTCTGATTTTAAAACTGTTCGGTAAGAACGCTCTGTTGGACAACCAGAACTTTTTTCCACCCTTGCAAACAAAGGAATGCCTATGGCAAAGTTCATGATTGTCTGTGTAACATGCAGGTATGGCATCAACGGTGAAAGAGATTTTATTCTTCACTTTGACAAAGTCACCGCCATATTTTTCCATGGCCTGGGTAAACTCCGACTGACATCTCTCAGCTAAATCCAGAGCGAAATTGTTCAAAAGCTTTTCACGGTCTTTTTTAGTTCTGCCGGGCATTATTTCTCCCAATTCTTTATTATTCTTGATGTTTTTCTGTGATTATTTAAAAAATGCCTGGTATCTAGAAAATGTTCTGGCTCTGTAGATGTTGTATTTTCAAGATACAAGTCATCTGCTGCTCTATAAGCAGAGCTATCTGGATCTGTTGTTAAATGTTTAGCTTCAATACCATCACTTGCAAGATCTTGCAGAGCTTCTTTTGCCCATGTGTACTCATCTCCTATGCTTTTCATGAATGTTAAATTTGAACTACATGCAGAAGTGCACTTTTCACCTGATCTGATTGGATGAACTGAACAAAGTTTATTTTTGCAAACAACTCCTATAATGCTTTTATCTTCTGTTTCAGCTTCTGCAACAGAATACACCACTTGTGTAGCAGGCTGGAATGGGTTTTTTCCAATGCCGGAATATATTGCATTGTTGTATGCACCGTCAGCCTGTAGACTTACAGAACCAGGATATTTTCTTCCTCTGAGTGTATTAATTTCAATCAGCTGCTTGCGTCGCGCTTTCATGTCTTTCTTATTTATATTTACTATTTCAGGTAGCACTTTATTTGCCCTCTTTTGTAGTCCTGAAGTGGATGGAGCTGGTATGTTACAGCCAAGTACTATTTTCCTCAAACCAGTATATCCAACTGGTGTTTGACTTAATGCTGCTTGGGCGGATACATTTATCTTGGCTGCCTTCCTTCCTGGTTTTTTGGTTTGCACTTCTTCATAGAGTTTGAACTTTCTCGATCGATAGGTGCATTTGTCACACATTGCCTCTTCACGATTAACAAATCCAAACTTTTCTTCTCTTTCCATATTCCACTGTAAAAATCCATTACAATTGGGATGAAGTCTTTGGTGTTCTCCAAATACAGAGTTCCACATTATTGCATTCAGTCTCACATTTACTGTTCTATTAGATGAATCTTCAGACCTAACATTTAATAGAAAAGAATGCCATAAGAGAGTGTTTTTCTACCTGTAACAGTAGTTTCTAAATGTACTTAAAAATATTTGTGAATTACCTCCCTTTGATCACAATTTTTTTTTGGCACAAATATAAAATAGAATTTCTTGGTATTATGAAGCTAAGCAGGTTGAAGTATCAATATTTCCTTTAAGTTAAGCATATATTTTATTAATTCAAGAAGGTACGACAACAACAAAATATTATTTCAAGGGAAATTTCTAGATTTAAAGAACTAATAGGAATTTTCAATCCGCTTTCAGAAAAATAATTTAAAATAGAGTTAAATAATACCTATGTTCATATTAACTGGTATTTCGATATTTTATGTTATTCCTTTAATTATCATTTAACCTACCTTTGATTTTTCTTTGCTGATTTCATTGTTTTTTTAATTTTAGGAGCAGCATCCCTTGGTCGCAACAGAACAGCAGGTTTTGTGTCATTTATAGATTGAGTATCGGTTTCCTTATATGGAATATTTTGCACAAGAGAAGTCATTTTTTCTGGTAAGTCTTTTATAAACTGTTTGTGTTGTGTCACTTTTACTTGGTTTTACAGTTTTTCTTTGTCTATTGTAAGGCACAGTTCCAGTTGGAAAACCTGAATTATTTCCCTTTCTGAACTTGGTCATTTTAATATGTAGAATTTATTTGTAATCCGTGAATGTAACTGTTTAAGGAAAAAGTTTGTGAAAGTTTGGGATTCTGTCTTTACTTTTATATTGGAAATTTGGTTAAAATTTGCATCTTTAATTTGAAAGAAAGGCACCAAACAGAACTCTCATAAAAAATTCTCATAAACAGAGAGAGATAGCAGTACAGATTTAAATTTTTAATTCTTACAGCTGCAGTGACAGATATGATAAGATAATTGATTCATCATCTCTGGTCACTGTCTTATCTGTTTGGTGTAAGGTTATGGTTTTTTAGTGCATTAAGTTGTTTCAGATTAAACTTTTAATACTTCAAAATTAAGAAAATTGTCATTTTTTCCTGTAGTTTTCAATTCTTGGGTAGAATCTACCCCAATTATCTGACAGCTGATGTTAGTGTTTTATGTGAAAGTCATATCCACTAGTCTATTGATAAAACACACAGACTTATTGCTTTTGTATATTTAATAAGAAAATAAATAAGTTTTATTTGGCAAAAAAATCAACTCTCAGCTTCACATTTCCTCTGCCGTCATTTGGGGTACATGTTGAACTTTTCTTTTTTCTTCGCTTGTAAGTGATCGACATCTTTTGTCTACAACTTTTCCATTACTAGATATAACAAATATTCATTTGGCCTAAAATTTGCTAGATTCTGGGCCCTTTTTTTGATTCTATATTGGGATGAAATTTACTTTCACTTTCATTTTGGAAAAGCAAGTTGCTGAATCAGACTTCTTTTAAAACGTTTTTGTGATTGTGTCAGCATCATGGAGGACTTTCATAAAGATTTAGAGGAGAGATTTCTAAAAAAACAAAAAAAAATGGGCAATATTCATGGTTGTGTAGCATGGGACGGCTATGTTGATAAATTAGGATACGGTGTCATGAATGTAAACTGGCCAAGGGAGGGTGCAAAAAAAGAAAGAGCACACAGACTAGCATATATGATTAAGGAAAGAATAAGCCACAATGATATGCCAAGACTTGATGAAAACAACAACCGCATAGAATGTAGTCACTTGTGCCATAATAAGACCTGTGTCAATTCAGAGCATATTAAACTTGAGTCCCATGCTACAAACCAGGAACGTATTCATTGTAAAGGGCAAAATTTTTGTGCAAAATGTCATGAACCACATTGTCTTATATGAAAGTATGCTTTATTTACAAATTAACACTTTTTTGTCACTGCAACTCGTTGTTTTTTGGCATAGGGATGGTCCTCGGCTTGCGTTTTTGTACGTTTCACTGGCCGCATAAGCTTGTTTTTCTCGTAACACTTTTCTTCCTGATGTTTTTCATAAATTTTATACAAATGTTTCCTGGTATCAGACCTCTCCTTTTTATATTTTATTGATTTTTTATAAGCTTTCTGCATTCTGTCTGTTTTTTGTATAGCTTTAAGTTCTTTTTCAGCAGCAGACCCAGGACTGATTTCTGCCCCAAGTTGCTTACAGATCACTAGGAGAGACTCACCAGGACCAAGATTTACACTATGAATAGCTGAATGGACACGACCTTCAAAGTTTTTTGTATAGGTAACATTTTTTGGTAGTGATCTACGCAGTGATCTGTTAAATCCCTCGACTTTTTGAGTATTTAGGTTCAATCTCGTCTTTTTTAAAGCGCTCGGACTGAGACAATATAACACACACTTTCTTATGGCATTCAAGTTTTAGTCCAATTTTCTGATTTTAAAACTGTTCGGTAAGAAAGCTCTGTTGGACAACCAGAACTTTTTTCCACCCTTGCAAACAAAGGAATGCCTATGGCAAAGTTCATGATTGCCTGTGTAACATGCAGGTATGGCATCAACGGTGAAAGAGATTTTATTCTTCACTTTGACAAAGTCACCGCCATATTTTTCCATGGCCTGGGTAAACTCCGACTGACATCTCTCAGCTAAATCCAGAGCGAAATTGTTCAAAAGCTTTTCACGGTCTTTTTTAGTTCTGCCGGGCATTATTTCTCCCAATTCTTTATTATTCTTGATGTTTTTCTGTGATTATTTAAAAGATGCCTGGTATCTAGAAAATGTTCTGGCTCTGTAGATGTTGTATTTTCAAGATACAAGTCATCTGCTGCTCTATAAGCAGAGCTATCTGGATCTGTTGTTAAATGTTTAGCTTCAATACCATCACTTGCAAGATCTTGCAGAGCTTCTTTTGCCCATGTGTACTCATCTCCTATGCTTTTCATGAATGTTAAATTTGAACTACATGCAGAAGTGCACTTTTCACCTGATCTGATTGGATGAACTGAACAAAGTTTATTTTTGCAAACAACTCCTATAATGCTTTTATCTTCTGTTTCAGCTTCTGCAACAGAATACACCACTTGTGTAGCAGGCTGGAATGGGGTTTTTCCAATGCCGGAATATATTGCATTGTTGTATGCACCGTCAGCCTGTAGACTTACAGAACCAGGATCTTTTCTTCCTCTGAGTGTATTAATTTCAATCAGCTGCTTGCGTCGCGCTTTCATGTCTTTCTTATTTATATTTACTATTTCAGGTAGCACTTTATTTGCCCTCTTTTGTAGTCCTGAAGTGGATGGAGCTGGTATGTTACAGCCAAGTACTATTTTCCTCAAACCAGTATATCCAAGTGGTGTTTGACTTAATGCTGCTTGGGCGGATACATTTATCTTGGCTGCCTTCCTTCCTGGTTTTTTGGTTTGCACTTCTTCATAGAGTTTGAACTTTCTCGATCGATAGGTGCATTTGTCACACATTGCCTCTTCACGATTAACAAATCCAAACTTTTTTTCTCTTTCCATATTCCACTGTAAAAATCCATTACAATTGGGATGAAGTCTTTGGTGTTCTCCAAATACAGAGTTCCACATTATTGCATTCAGTCTCACATTTACTGTTCTATTAGATGAATCTTCAGACCTAACATTTAATAGAAAAGAATGCCATAAGAGAGTGTTTTTTCTACCTGTAACAGTAGTTTCTAAATGTACTTAAAAATATTTGTGAATTACCTCCCTTTGATCACAATTTTTTTTTGGCACAAACATAAAATAGAATTTCTTGGTATTATGAAGCTAAGCAGGTTGAAGTATCAATATTTTCTTTAAGTTAAGCATATATTTTATTAATTCAAGAAGGTACGACAACAACAAAATATTATTTCAAGGGAAATTTCTAGATTTAAAGAACTGATAGGCATTTTCAATCCGCTTTCAGAAAAATAATTTAAAATAGAGTTAAATAATACCTATGTTCATATTAACTGGTATTTCGATATTTTATGTTATTCCTTTAATTATCATTTAACCTACCTTTGATTTTTCTTTGCTGATTTCATTGTTTTTTTAATTTTAGGAGCAGCATCCCTTGGTCGCAACAGAACAGCAGGTTTGGTGTCATTTATAGATTGAGTATCGGTATCCTTATATGGAATATTTTGCACAAGAGAAGTCATTTTTCTGGTAAGTCTTTTATAAACTGTTTGTGTTGTGTCACTTTTACTTGGTTTTACAGTTTTTCTTTGTCTATTGTAAGGCACAGTTCCAGTTGGAAAACCTGAATTATTTCCCTTTCTGAACTTGGTCATTTTAATATGTAGAATTTATTTGTAATCCGTGAATGTAACTGTTTAAGGAAAAAGTTTGTGAAAGTTTGGGATTCTGTCTTTACTTTTATATTGGAAATTTGGTTAAAATTTGCATCTTTAATTTGAAAGAAAGGCACCAAACAGAACTCTCATAAAAAATTCTCATAAACAGAGAGAGATAGCAGTACAGATATAAATTTTTAATTCTTACAGCTGCAGTGACAGATATGATAAGATAATTGATTCATCATCTCTGGTCACTGTCTTATCTGTTTGGTGTAAGGTTATGGTTTTTTAGTGCATTAAGTTGTTTCAGATTAAACTTTTAATACTTCAAAATTAAGAAAATTGTCATTTTTTCCTGTAGTTTTCAATTCTTGGGTAGAATCTACCCCAATTATCTGACAGCTGATGTTAGTGTTTTATGTGAAAGTCATATCCACTAGTCTATTGATAAAACACACAGACTTATTGCTTTTGTATATTTAATAAGAAAATAAATAAGTTTTATTTGGCAAAAAAATCAACTCTCAGCTTCACATTTCCTCTGCCGTCATTTGGGGTACATGTTGAACTTTTCTTTTTTCTTCGCTTGTAAGTGATCGACATCTTTTGTCTACAACTTTTCCATTACTAGATATAACAAATATTCATTTGGCCTAAAATTTGCTAGATTCTGGGCCCTTTTTTTGATTCTATATTGGGATGAAATTTACTTTCACTTTCATTTTGGAAAAGCAAGTTGCTGAATCAGACTTCTTTTAAAACGTTTTTGTGATTGTGTCAGCATCATGGAGGACTTTCATAAAGATTTAGAGGAGAGATTTCTAAAAAAACCAAAAAAAATGGGCAATATTCATGGTTGTGTAGCATGGGACGGCTATGTTGATAAATTAGGATACGGTGTCATGAATGTAAACTGGCCAAGGGAGGGTGCAAAAAAAGAAAGAGCACACAGACTAGCATATATGATTAAGGAAAGAATAAGCCACAATGATATGCCAAGACTTGATGAAAACAACAACCGCATAGAATGTAGTCACTTGTGCCATAATAAGACCTGTGTCAATTCAGAGCATATTAAACTTGAGTCCCATGCTACAAACCAGGAACGTATTCATTGTAAAGGGCAAAATTTATGTGCAAAATGTCATGAACCACATTGTCTTATATGAAAGTATGCTTTATTTACAAATTAACACTTTTTTGTCACTGCAACTCGTTGTTTTTTGGCATAGGGATGGTCCTCGGCTTGCGTTTTTGTACGTTTCACTGGCCGCATAAGCTTGTTTTTCTCGTAACACTTTTCTTCCTGATGTTTTTCATAAATTTTATACAAATGTTTCCTGGTATCAGACCTCTCCTTTTTATATTTTATTGATTTTTTATAAGCTTTCTGCATTCTGTCTGTTTTTTGTATAGCTTTAAGTTCTTTTTCAGCAGCAGACCCAGGACTGATTTCTGCCCCAAGTTGCTTACAGATCACTAGGAGAGACTCACCAGGACCAAGATTTACACTATGAATAGCTGAATGGACACGACCTTCAAAGTTTTTTGTATAGGTAACATTTTTTGGTAGTGATCTACGCAGTGATCTGTTAAATCCCTCGACTTTTTGAGTATTTAGGTTCAATCTCGTCTTTTTTAAAGCGCTCGGACTGAGACAATATAACACACACTTTCTTATGGCATTCAAGTTTTAGTCCAATTTTCTGATTTTAAAACTGTTCGGTAAGAAAGCTCTGTTGGACAACCAGAACTTTTTTCCACCCTTGCAAACAAAGGAATGCCTATGGCAAAGTTCATGATTGCCTGTGTAACATGCAGGTATGGCATCAACGGTGAAAGAGATTTTATTCTTCACTTTGACAAAGTCACCGCCATATTTTTCCATGGCCTGGGTAAACTCCGACGGACATCTCTCAGCTAAATCCAGAGCGAAATTGTTCAAAAGCTTTTCACGGTCTTTTTTAGTTCTGCCGGGCATTATTTCTCCCAATTCTTTATTATTCTTGATGTTTTTCTGTGATTATTTAAAAAATGCCTGGTATCTAGAAAATGTTCTGGCTCTGTAGATGTTGTATTTTCAAGATACAAGTCATCTGCTGCTCTATAAGCAGAGCTATCTGGATCTGTTGTTAAATGTTTAGCTTCAATACCATCACTTGCAAGATCTTGCAGAGCTTCTTTTGCCCATGTGTACTCATCTCCTATGCTTTTCATGAATGTTAAATTTGAACTACATGCAGAAGTGCACTTTTCACCTGATCTGATTGGATGAACTGAACAAAGTTTATTTTTGCAAACAACTCCTATAATGCTTTTATCTTCTGTTTCAGCTTCTGCAACAGAATACACCACTTGTGTAGCAGGCTGGAATGGGGTTTTTCCAATGCCGGAATATATTGCATTGTTGTATGCACCGTCAGCCTGTAGACTTACAGAACCAGGATCTTTTCTTCCTCTGAGTGTATTAATTTCAATCAGCTGCTTGCGTCGCGCTTTCATGTCTTTCTTATTTATATTTACTATTTCAGGTAGCACTTTATTTGCCCTCTTTTGTAGTCCTGAAGTGGATGGAGCTGGTATGTTACAGCCAAGTACTATTTTCCTCAAACCAGTATATCCAAGTGGTGTTTGACTTAATGCTGCTTGGGCGGATACATTTATCTTGGCTGCCTTCCTTCCTGGTTTTTTGGTTTGCACTTCTTCATAGAGTTTGAACTTTCTCGATCGATAGGTGCATTTGTCACACATTGCCTCTTCACGATTAACAAATCCAAACTTTTTTTCTCTTTCCATATTCCACTGTAAAAATCCATTACAATTGGGATGAAGTCTTTGGTGTTCTCCAAATACAGAGTTCCACATTATTGCATTCAGTCTCACATTTACTGTTCTATTAGATGAATCTTCAGACCTAACATTTAATAGAAAAGAATGCCATAAGAGAGTGTTTTTCTACCTGTAACAGTAGTTTCTAAATGTACTTAAAAATATTTGTGAATTACCTCCCTTTGATCACAATTTTTTTTTTGGCACAAATATAAAATAGAATTTCTTGGTATTATGAAGCTAAGCAGGTTGAAGTATCAATATTTTCTTTAAGTTAAGCATACATGTTATTAATTCAAGAAGGTACGACAACAACAAAATATTATTTCAAGGGAAATTTCTAGATTTAAAGAACTGATAGGCATTTTCAATCCGCTTTCAGAAAAATAATTTAAAATAGAGTTAAATAATACCTATGTTCATATTAACTGGTATTTCGATATTTTATGTTATTCCTTTAATTATCATTTAACCTACCTTTGATTTTTCTTTGCTGATTTCATTGTTTTTTTAATTTTAGGAGCAGCATCCCTTGGTCGCAACAGAACAGCAGGTTTGGTGTCATTTATAGATTGAGTATCGGTATCCTTATATGGAATATTTTGCACAAGAGAAGTCATTTTTCTGGTAAGTCTTTTATAAACTGTTTGTGTTGTGTCACTTTTACTTGGTTTTACAGTTTTTCTTTGTCTATTGTAAGGCACAGTTCCAGTTGGAAAACCTGAATTATTTCCCTTTCTGAACTTGGTCATTTTAATATGTAGAATTTATTTGTAATCCGTGAATGTAACTGTTTAAGGAAAAAGTTTGTGAAAGTTTGGGATTCTGTCTTTACTTTTATATTGGAAATTTGGTTAAAATTTGCATCTTTAATTTGAAAGAAAGGCACCAAACAGAACTCTCATAAAAAATTCTCATAAACAGAGAGAGATAGCAGTACAGATATAAATTTTTAATTCTTACAGCTGCAGTGACAGATATGATAAGATAATTGATTCATCATCTCTGGTCACTGTCTTATCTGTTTGGTGTAAGGTTATGGTTTTTTAGTGCATTAAGTTGTTTCAGATTAAACTTTTAATACTTCAAAATTAAGAAAATTGTCATTTTTTCCTGTAGTTTTCAATTCTTGGGTAGAATCTACCCCAATTATCTGACAGCTGATGTTAGTGTTTTATGTGAAAGTCATATCCACTAGTCTATTGATAAAACACACAGACTTATTGCTTTTGTATATTTAATAAGAAAATAAATAAGTTTTATTTGGCAAAAAAATCAACTCTCAGCTTCACAGTTACTCTGCCGTCATTTGGGGTACATGTTGAACTTTTCTTTTTTCTTCGCTTGTAAGTGATCGACATCTTTTGTCTACAACTTTTCCATTACTAGATATAACAAATATTCATTTGGCCTAAAATTTGCTAGATTCTGGGCCCTTTTTTTGATTCTATATTGGGATGAAATTTACTTTCACTTTCATTTTGGAAAAGCAAGTTGCTGAATCAGACTTCTTTTAAAACGTTTTTGTGATTGTGTCAGCATCATGGAGGACTTTCATAAAGATTTAGAGGAGAGATTTCTAAAAAAACCAAAAAAAATGGGCAATATTCATGGTTGTGTAGCATGGGACGGCTATGTTGATAAATTAGGATACGGTGTCATGAATGTAAACTGGCCAAGGGAGGGTGCAAAAAAAGAAAGAGCACACAGACTAGCATATATGATTAAGGAAAGAATAAGCCACAATGATATGCCAAGACTTGATGAAAACAACAACCGCATAGAATGTAGTCACTTGTGCCATAATAAGACCTGTGTCAATTCAGAGCATATTAAACTTGAGTCCCATGCTACAAACCAGGAACGTATTCATTGTAAAGGGCAAAATTTATGTGCAAAATGTCATGAACCACATTGTCTTATATGAAAGTATGCTTTATTTACAAATTAACACTTTTTTGTCACTGCAACTCGTTGTTTTTTGGCATAGGGATGGTCCTCGGCTTGCGTTTTTGTACGTTTCACTGGCCGCATAAGCTTGTTTTTCTCGTAACACTTTTCTTCCTGATGTTTTTCATAAATTTTATACAAATGTTTCCTGGTATCAGACCTCTCCTTTTTATATTTTATTGATTTTTTATAAGCTTTCTGCATTCTGTCTGTTTTTTGTATAGCTTTAAGTTCTTTTTCAGCAGCAGACCCAGGACTGATTTCTGCCCCAAGTTGCTTACAGATCACTAGGAGAGACTCACCAGGACCAAGATTTACACTATGAATAGCTGAATGGACACGACCTTCAAAGTTTTTTGTATAGGTAACATTTTTTGGTAGTGATCTACGCAGTGATCTGTTAAATCCCTCGACTTTTTGAGTATTTAGGTTCAATCTCGTCTTTTTTAAAGCGCTCGGACTGAGACAATATAACACACACTTTCTTATGGCATTCAAGTTTTAGTCCAATTTTCTGATTTTAAAACTGTTCGGTAAGAAAGCTCTGTTGGACAACCAGAACTTTTTTCCACCCTTGCAAACAAAGGAATGCCTATGGCAAAGTTCATGATTGCCTGTGTAACATGCAGGTATGGCATCAACGGTGAAAGAGATTTTATTCTTCACTTTGACAAAGTCACCGCCATATTTTTCCATGGCCTGGGTAAACTCCGACTGACATCTCTCAGCTAAATCCAGAGCGAAATTGTTCAAAAGCTTTTCACGGTCTTTTTTAGTTCTGCCGGGCATTATTTCTCCCAATTCTTTATTATTCTTGATGTTTTTCTGTGATTATTTAAAAAATGCCTGGTATCTAGAAAATGTTCTGGCTCTGTAGATGTTGTATTTTCAAGATACAAGTCATCTGCTGCTCTATAAGCAGAGCTATCTGGATCTGTTGTTAAATGTTTAGCTTCAATACCATCACTTGCAAGATCTTGCAGAGCTTCTTTTGCCCATGTGTACTCATCTCCTATGCTTTTCATGAATGTTAAATTTGAACTACATGCAGAAGTGCACTTTTCACCTGATCTGATTGGATGAACTGAACAAAGTTTATTTTTGCAAACAACTCCTATAATGCTTTTATCTTCTGTTTCAGCTTCTGCAACAGAATACACCACTTGTGTAGCAGGCTGGAATGGGGTTTTTCCAATGCCGGAATATATTGCATTGTTGTATGCACCGTCAGCCTGTAGACTTACAGAACCAGGATCGTTTCTTCCTCTGAGTGTATTAATTTCAATCAGCTGCTTGCGTCGCGCTTTCATGTCTTTCTTATTTATATTTACTATTTCAGGTAGCACTTTATTTGCCCTCTTTTGTAGTCCTGAAGTGGATGGAGCTGGCATGTTACAGCCAAGTACTATTTTCCTCAAACCAGTATATCCAAGTGGTGTTTGACTTAATGCTGCTTGGGCGGATACATTTATCTTGGCTGCCTTCCTTCCTGGTTTTTTGGTTTGCACTTCTTCATAGAGTTTGAACTTTCTCGATCGATAGGTGCATTTGTCACACATTGCCTCTTCACGATTAACAAATCCAAACTTTTTTTTCTCTTTCCATATTCCACTGTAAAAATCCATTACAATTGGGATGAAGTCTTTGGTGTTCTCCAAATACAGAGTTCCACATTATTGCATTCAGTCTCACATTTACTGTTCTATTAGATGAATCTTCAGACCTAACATTTAATAGAAAAGAATGCCATAAGAGAGTGTTTTTCTACCTGTAACAGTAGTTTCTAAATGTACTTAAAAATATTTGTGAATTACCTCCCTTTGATCACAATTTTTTTTTGGCACAAATATAAAATAGAATTTCTTGGTATTATGAAGCTAAGCAGGTTGAAGTATCAATATTTTCTTTAAGTTAAGCATATATTTTATTAATTCAAGAAGGTACGACAACAACAAAATATTATTTCAAGGGAAATTTCTAGATTTAAAGAACTGATAGGCATTTTCAATCCGCTTTCAGAAAAATAATTTAAAATAGAGTTAAATAATACCTATGTTCATATTAACTGGTATTTCGATATTTTATGTTATTCCTTTAATTATCATTTAACCTACCTTTGATTTTTCTTTGCTGATTTCATTGTTTTTTTAATTTTAGGAGCAGCATCCCTTGGTCGCAACAGAACAGCAGGTTTGGTGTCATTTATAGATTGAGTATCGGTTTCCTTATATGGAATATTTTGCACAAGAGAAGTCATTTTTCTGGTAAGTCTTTTATAAACTGTTTGTGTTGTGTCACTTTTACTTGGTTTTACAGTTTTTCTTTGTCTATTGTAAGGCACAGTTCCAGTTGGAAAACCTGAATTATTTCCCTTTCTGAACTTGGTCATTTTAATATGTAGAATTTATTTGTAATCCGTGAATGTAACTGTTTACGGAAAAAGTTTGTGAAAGTTTGGGATTCTGTCTTTACTTTTATATTGGAAATTTGGTTAAAATTTGCATCTTTAATTTGAAAGAAAGGCACCAAACAGAACTCTCATAAAAAATTCTCATAAACAGAGAGAGATAGCAGTACAGATATAAATTTTTAATTCTTACAGCTGCAGTGACAGATATGATAAGATAATTGATTCATCATCTCTGGTCACTGTCTTATCTGTTTGGTGTAAGGTTATGGTTTTTTAGTGCATTAAGTTGTTTCAGATTAAACTTTTAATACTTCAAAATTAAGAAAATTGTCATTTTTTCCTGTAGTTTTCAATTCTTGGGTAGAATCTACCCCAATTATCTGACAGCTGATGTTAGTGTTTTATGTGAAAGTCATATCCACTAGTCTATTGATAAAACACACAGACTTATTGCTTTTGTATATTTAATAAGAAAATAAATAAGTTTTATTTGGCAAAAAAATCAACTCTCAGCTTCACATTTCCTCTGCCGTCATTTGGGGTACATGTTGAACTTTTCTTTTTTCTTCGCTTGTAAGTGATCGACATCTTTTGCCTACAACTTTTCCATTACTAGATATAACAAATATTCATTTGGCCTAAAATTTGCTAGATTCTGGGCCCTTTTTTTGATTCTATATTGGGATGAAATTTACTTTCACTTTCATTTTGGAAAAGCAAGTTGCTGAATCAGACTTCTTTTAAAACGTGTTTGTGATTGTGTCAGCATCATGGAGGACTTTCATAAAGATTTAGAGGAGAGATTTCTAAAAAAAACAAAAAAAATGGGCAATATTCATGGTTGTGTAGCATGGGACGGCTATGTTGATAAATTAGGATACGGTGTCATGAATGTAAACTGGCCAAGGGAGAGTGCAAAAAAAGAAAGAGCACACAGACTAGCATATATGATTAAGGAAAGAATAAGCCACAATGATATGCCAAGACTTGATGAAAACAACAACCGCATAGAATGTAGTCACTTGTGCCATAATAAGACCTGTGTCAATTCAGAGCATATTAAACTTGAGTCCAATGCTACAAACCAGGAACGTATTCATTGTAAAGGGCAAAATTTATGTGCAAAATGTCATGAACCACATTGTCTTATATGAAAGTATGCTTTATTTACAAATTAACACTTTTTTGTCACTGCAACTCGTTGTTTTTTGGCATAGGGATGGTCCTCGGCTTGCGTTTTTGTACGTTTCACTGGCCGCATAAGCTT